TTTTTTTTTTTTTTTTTTTTACCCTTTGGCAAAATGAGTGTTGTTTTTTGTTTTGGGTTCGATGGCGTGCGCACCTCATTTGGACGTCATCACTCTTTTCAACTGTGCTCAAGAGTAATAGTTAACAGTGCGCATGCGTCGTCATTGCATGCGTTGTTATGGGGACCGCTGTTGTTTGATAATTTTTTTAGAATTCTTTTGTAAATATTGTTTTAAGTTAAAACTTAACAACTTAGATCAACTTCAAAACCAAAATCTCAAAAATGAAATTGCACAAGTCATAAGAAATCAGACTAACCTGAGCATTAATAAAAAATCGACATAGCAAGATCAAATAAAAAAAGGCAGGCGTTAATTTTGGAATTTCTTGGAGTTGATTGTTTTCACCATTGAAGTTTTTTCTTTTTATTTGCCCAGTGAATATTTTTAATGTTTCTATGTAATGTTAATTTAAATTATTTGAATATTCTTTTTGTGATTTACTTATTTATAATTACTATCTTGGCTGTGATTTTATATAATATAAATATGAATACTGAAGACGGAAAAGAATTTTGTGACGTCTTAAGAAACGTATTTTGGCTGGAATTGGAAACCAAAGAACAACGATAAGAGAACAAATCAATTAATGCAATTTTTTCAACCAATGACTAGAAAGTTTTTTTGTTTATGAAAGTCTACTAAGGAAGAAAAAGAAACGTTTGACTCAATGGGTAACCAGTGATTGCAATAATACAATCCCAATTTTCTTGTTTTCGTAATTTATCTTTTATATTTTAATATTAGTTTTTTATTTATTTATTTATTTATTTATTTATTCTATTTTTTTTAAATTAGCCGATAGGGGTAGGCCTATGTTGATTGTCTACAGATATAAAAATAAATTTTAGCTTAATTTTCGTAATAAATTTAATTAAATATATAAAACTAATTGAATATATAAAACTTAAAAATATCTTAAGAGTTTTAATAGTGGGTGGAAGCTAAAATATTAATCTGAATAAAATAAAATTTTCAAGAATATCAGGTTCCTAATAGATAACCAAAAATTAAGCATCATTAGCAGAGGTCAGTGAGAATAAGTGAAAGACCACTTTGCTCAAACTGTGAAGTGACAGAGAGTGGACGGTGTCAGTCCTCGTTAAACAGTTCGACCGTAAAGTGCTCAATTTCACTCAGCAGTCCTAAGCATAAGTATTTAATCTCTTCTAACCCGATGTAAGCAGTTTTGGTTCGATATTCCATCCCTTCTTGATTCAATAAATTTAACATCAAGTAATTTTGACTGCCACTATGTACAGGCCGGTGCTGGGATAGAAGGGAGGGTGTTAGACTCATGTTCGAGAGAACGGGAATTCGAATCCATTCCCCAAGGAATCCCCGTATATTAAATGGTGACTGACGGTGGACGTTAAATCTGTCGGGGTCACAAAGCCCTCTAAGTTCCGATAAGAAATCAATATGTCGGATCCATGGCTTCCCTTTTCTTCTGGGTTGGATTCAAAATTACAATGGTAGCCGTAAACTCAAATTTGGATCGAATGGTAGCCGTAAACTCAAATTTTGTTCAATGACGGTTATAAAATAAAATGTATGTAGGCTATGGTAGCTATGGGGGATGGAGCGTTCGAGATGAGATGAACCGGGTTCAAATCAAAGCGATGGTTGGTCAATACGAATTTCGCACCCGATTCACACCGATGACAGTTACGACGTAAAATATCCTCAGTGGTAGGCGGATCATGGATTAGAGTCCCCTTGTCGTCAGGCTAACCATGGGAGGTTTTCATGGTTTTACTCTCCACGTAACGCAAATGCGGTTTAGTTTCATCAAAAAGTCATCCACGACGGCACATTTCTTCTAATACTTGATCCAGGAGCTCCCTTGTATTCTGGATTGTGTTCAAAATTAAAAGGCTACGGAGTTGAGCATTAATAGTCGTAGCACCCCCTACGTGTGTCCCTACGCCCCCTCCCCCCCAAAAAAAAATCAGGTCGGCTGTTCACCGGCCGTTATAAAATAAAATATACTTTAGTTAAACTTTAGTGTTTGACTTATAAGAAATCAATTAATACCCTTGTCTTTACAAATTAATTTGATTTTTGAGCAAAAATTTCCTTTTTTCTCAAACTTGAAAATGCTTAGAGTTCTACATATTATTTAAAGAGACCAGCTGACTGCTAAAAACGGCTAGTGTCCCGAGCAATCATATAATACGCCATTAAATTATTAAAGACTTATTCCTAATCGAACCTCTCAAAAGTAGGTGATATATTTGAATATATATTTAATGAGACGATGTATAAAATATACATGAGAAATCATTGATCATAAAATACAAATTTTATTACAAACAAATATGGTTAAATTAGACAAAGCTAATAAGAAAATATGGCAAGACCATGTGTGCATAATGAAAAAGCGTATTGTGAATTCTCAAACACAGAATAACCCGAATAGAATTGTTTATACAATCAATCTTGCTATGATTAGATGTTAATAAGTACAAAGTAGAAATACAGCCGTGGCTGTCATACACAATTATTGTCCAGATAGCAATTTCATTATCTTAATATTATTATTTTAATAATATTATAGTAAACCGAAAAAATAACACACCTAATATCTATACAAAAAAGTGATTTCTATTGTAATTTATGAGTACATAAAAATATCAAAAATTTTGCCAAAATAGTAACAGGTTGAGAAATTTAGTAAAAACCGATTTGAGTTAGTGATGACAATTTAGCAATAACATGAGTTTGTTTAATGATTATTACGATATCTGTTCAATTCTTTTAATAACATCCATGTTTCAAGTTGATATACTGTGAATTGCAATCAATAAATTTTTATTACCATCTCACAGTATGAATAATGTAATTTCCAATGTGAAAGAAAATATTGCTGTGATTTAGTCTGGATTACAATCAGAACAATTGTTTTAAACAACTTACAGTATGAGTAATATAATTTCACACGAGAAAAAAAAAACATATGAGTAATATAATTTCCCATGAGAAGGAAAACATTGCTGTGATTTACTGTGGATTGCAATCAGAACAATTTTTCAAATATCTCATAGCATGAGTTAGATAATTTCCCATAAGAAAGAAAATATTGCTGTGATTTACTGTGGATTGCAATCAGAACAATTTTTAAACATCTTACAGTACGATTAATATAATTTTCCACAAGAAAGAAAATATTCCTTGAGGTAGAGATTCCTGCAGAAGGAGAGGAAGGTCACTTTTTTCTAATGATGACCATGATGATGGACAGGAAATGGTATGTGAATCGGATGGTGCTCGCAATGATGATGATTTTCACCCATCAGTTTTGCCAGTAGTCCTGCGGCCAACATGTATCCAAGATGATGGTTATGGTGATGCTGACCACCACTGCAAATGGCAATCACGAAAACCATAGCAAGCAGAAGCTTAATGAGTTTCATTCTGTAAAAGCGATAGTAAAATACTTAGTATAAATGCTGAAGATTTCGAAAAGAAATAAATAAACACGTAAAGCAAAGATAAAACACTGGTAGGGAGCTCTTATGCAGTATCTCAAGTTTTCAGAAAGTTCAGAGAGGTTTTTAAAGGTATCATCGAGGGGGTAGAATAAGATCGCAAACCCCGTTGATGGGGTGAAAATCTAAAAAAAAAAAAAAAAACCTATGCAGGCTGAATCTAGAGGTGATTAAAGGTGGAGGTCATAGTTCAGGTTTGCCCTGCATAAATTAAACGCGTTCATACCATTCGTTTTGTGAAACCCTTCGTGAAATCTCAATATAGGTTTAGTGACAAGGATAATCGAGGATTGTCTCTTGGGGTCATATTTTATAACCGTCGTTGAACAGCCGACCCAATTTTTGGGTTTACGACTACTAATGTTCATCTCCGTAGCCATGTAATTTTGAACCCAATCCAGAAGACGAGGGAACTCCTGGATCAAATATTGAGAGAAATGTGCCTTCCGCGAAGATTTTTTGATGGAACTAACCCGTATTTGCGTTACATGGAAAGGAAAACTACGAAAACCACCCACAATTAGCCTGACGGCAAGGGGACTCTAACCCATGATCCGTCGACCAATGAGGATATTTTAAGTCAACACAGTGGTCGGTGCAAGCCGGATGCGGAATTCGTACCGACCAGCCATCTCTGGGATTCGAACCTAGTTCAACTCATTGGAAGGGAAACGCTTTATCCCCTGAGCTATCACGAGCTCTTTGAGGTCATATTTGCTGCAAGAACGCCTACTTAATATTGAAACTTATCTTATTTTCTGCACTAAGATTCTCCCTGAATTGTGCCGGCCGCGGGGGCAAAGAGGCATGTGGTTCATGTAGGATGATGCCCCCGCACATTATGCTCCTAGATACGTAATAACCTGGATATTACCCACACGGACTTAAACACCGACATTAATTTTAATATTTAATGTGCCAGTGAATTTTACGATTTACGATTTTATTTTCGATTGAATAAATTTGTTTTATAGTATTAAAAATTACGGAATAAAGATGAGGCCTGGATGAAGCAAAATATGAACGTTTTAGCTTTAAGCTTAGTTAATAGTTAACTTAGCTACTTCACAAGAAGAAAATTTCGACTACTAATCCATTTATCAGTCGAATTTTGAAACACATTTAATATTAGGCGCTCTGCTCTCATCACGCTGTTCGCCCGTGAATTCATTTAAGAAACAGTTATTTTCAGATAGCTATTTTTGAGTGCAATTCTTAAATTTGTTTAATTTGAAATTTCTGAAAAATTTAACTACTAATGTTTTCTTATGTGGTTTAGATTATAGATATCATAAACTCTGAGATGAATACTTTAGAAGAAATTGGTATTTTATCAAATAACACAAGTCCTTCACACTCATCGGAAACAAGGAAGATTTAAGAGGAAAATGTAAAAATATCTCTAAAATTGTTTACTGTAAATATTAGAGCTAAATCCTTACATGAAAATTTTCTTAAAATTGTAAATGAAAACTGATAGATTGCTTATGCTAACATCTTATACTAGCATAAGACGTTTTAGTCTTCTTATACTAGGGAATACTATTTTTGAAGTTATACTTCTTATGTGACTTCCAACAAGGTTGCGTTAAACGTTTAACGCTACATTTTTATTGGGCAGGAAATCACATGTAAGGATACAGTTTTCCCTCATTCATTTCCATATTGTTTTGGTTCCCAAAAAGAATCGTTGAATAGAACTAGTGATCCTTCTACGACTGCTGATTCTTCTACAATTAACGTCGCAGGTTGCGAAGTTTAACTTCTTCCGCGCGGAGGGACTCCACGCACTATTTTTTCTTAAACTCTTCTGGATTCAGGTAAGACAAAAACGAGAAAAATTTTAATATTAGTGTGATAAATTTTTCTTTTACATTGAAAAATCTAGAATAACCATATTAAAAAATCATACTGATGTGGTTACAAATAATCATAATTTTCCTACCAATAGTTTTTGCCAAACTGAATTAAACAACATAAGAAAAAAAAAAAAAACTTGTCACAAAGTACAAAATCTTTCAACTTTGTCATAAATTAATTTTAAAAAAATGCATAAAGGCATCAATAACATTTTCATTTTATAATATTCCTTAAATGTGCGATAACTGTGCAACTGTCATATTTTTTCATTCAATAATTTTTTTTTGTTCTGAGTGCGAGAAGCGTGCTAAGTGAATGTTTCCTGAAACAAGAGCAGCAATTGTGTCATTAACCTGCTTTCATAACCCATTAATGTCTAGTTTTCCGATTGGAATAAAATCTAAATGAAAAAAGTACAAAAAAATTTATTTATACCAAGTGAATAATTCATTCTTTTACCTATCACAAAGCTCCGTTGTTTTGATTTCAGATCCAAACATAAATATTTATGTTATTAATATACATATTATCGTAGACAAAACTATCTTATTTCTGCATATTATAATAATAAAACACAGGAGCTATTACTTTTTCTGTTTTGAAAAAAGAAACTGTGGATGCTGGGTAGAGAAATATGATTTCTACTTAGTCATTACCACGCGAAAATCTGAGAATTTTCTAAATTTCGAAGTTCATCAATTCCAAGTATGTTTTTAAAAATTAGTTGAAAACCTGATACTTTTGTTTATATCACTCAAAGCTGCCAACTAAAATGTTTTAGTCAACAAAAATGTTGTTTAAAGCAATAGCAGGGGTGATTAAAAACGAAAAAAGTGATGACTTATAAAATTCAAAATTTAATTAACACTTTGAATGCCATGGGGGTCACCGGTGACCGGCACTGTTTTTGTTCGTATCGCCGCGGGGGTCATCGGTGATCGGCGAAGCTAAGATTATTAGAAACACATAATTCGAGTAATTTTTTTATATTATTATCGTTACTAAAATGGTTTGAAGAAATTAATGTAATATGGAAGACACAAAAATAGTTTTATTTATATACACAGAGATGCCAACTTTCTCCGGACAGCGAATAAATATTTTCAAGTGGTAATTTATTAACTGTGATTCTTGGTTTAATAAATTCAATTTAGTAGATTTTTATCCACCACAATTCGTAGGCTTATATAATTCATCACAGTTTAGTTTCTAACATTTGTAAAATTTTCCCGTAGCATCCTTGGCAACGATTAAATAGTTGGCAGTTAGTTCGGATGTCGAAAAAATACTTAATGAGCTAGGAGAGACAAAGTTGTTACCTTAGAGGTTATTACCTCTTTTCGGGTTTTATGGAAAATGTTATTTTTATATTCAAAGTGGTAGTAAAAACTTTATTTTATTTTTGGACTTATAAATTTAATCAGGAATGAGTTAATTATAGCTACTACTACAAATGAATAAATTAAACGTACGAAAAATGTAAAAAGTGGTAATTAGTTAAATTCTATTAAAAGAATTCAAAATTAGTAGCTTTTTCTAGCATTTGCTCGTTTAGTTTGATGTTGAAAGTGAAAATTAATGAGTGCTTTCGCTTAAAATGTGAATAATTTGTAATGTAGTAGTTACGAGTGAATAATTAAATAGATTTAATTACTAAAAAAGAATCGGGCTTTTACTACTTCCAACATTTTTGAGTCGCCCTTGGTATTCTTGCAGTAGTGGAATTACATATAAAAAATTATTATTATTTCGTTTATTCTAAAGTTTCGAAAAAGAAAAATCTAAAGTTTAGGGGGAAAAAATCTCAACAAACATTATATTTGTTGCTATTTTTGCATTATTTAGTGACGTTGGGGCTAAAACAATTTCTAGGGAAAAAAATATTGATGGTATCTCCACTATCTTTAATCAAAGCGTATAGTAATGCAATGCATGTGTAAGATGCATGTATGAGAAGTTAAGGAACATTTTACTCGTTAAAAATGTCTGCTTAAATTCAATATCAGTGGAAAAAATATTTTATATCTTCTTAACTAAAATATTTATACCACACGATGATATTATTACTGTAAAAAAATCAGCTTAATTTCACACTCATATAACATGGCAGTCAGTTCTTCCGATTTTCCAAGAATTTATTTTTACTTTTTTATTTAATTTTTAGATTAGTAAATTTCACAAGTGCCAACAACTACGGATCCTCCGTAGTATTTTAGATATAAAGTGGGAATGAATTTTAAGAATTTCATTTTAATTTATAAAATATTCTTGGATTTATAAATTTAATATTATTTTGATTATCACCAAATGCAAATAAATTAATCTTACACATGAGAGCAAGTTTCAAAAACGAAAATAAGTGTAAGCAATGTGAAAAATTCTTTAATCTCTAATTTCATTTCAATTAGTTTTTTACAACCGCTAGGGAAATACTTTCTCGGAAAGTTATCAAATTATTAGGTGTTTAAAAATTGAATTTCCAAAATTTTTGCTGTTCAAATTCAAATTGAATTTTAGAAAATAATGCTTACAAATGGAATAAATCCCGATACTCTAAAAGCCAGTAATCAAATACCATTTTTATTTTATTATTATTTTACTTTTTATCCTATGTTGTGTTATGTCAATTCAGCGTTAAAATTTTGATAAGAAACAATTTTAGAATTGTTTCAAGTGAGCATGCGTCGTCATTGTATGCGTTGCTATGGCGATCGCTGCTGTTTGATGATTTTTTAAAACTCATTTTTAGTTTTATTATGCATTGATTTGGCGAGTTTATTTTTGAGATATGAGACTAGCGAGACCCTATAAAATACTTCTCTAGTTGAGAATAAATAAGAATTTAATTATGTGAACGATGTTTTTATTTTTCTTGCTTTAATTAAGAATCAGAAATTTTAACCTACAGTTCAAGTTGAATTGTTTAAAAGAAATTAAAATAAGTTTTTCATTCATGATTTCTCTGCAACAGATTTGGAATAAATATTTAACAAATAATTTTGAATAATACAGTAGATATCCAATTCATTTAAACCTCCTTTAAAACTTAAAATATTCTACACACTTAAGCTTTTAAAGTGGCTGTAAACTGTATATTTTTGCAAATAAAGCATGTTGTTTTTTCCAATTTTTCTGATTCTTCTAATTTCTGATTCTTAATTAAAACCAGAAAAATAAAAATGATCAAATTCTTTTTCATTCTCAACTCTAGAAGTATTTAATAGGATCTCTCTGGCTTCACATCTCAAAAATAAATTCATCAAATCAACGCATGAAAGAATTAAAAAAGAAAAAAAGAATACTAAAAAATTATCAAACAAACAAATAAAATTTTTACATTTCAAAGGGAAACATTAATTTACAGAAGCTGTGAAAATCTGCTGCATCCATTGTTGTGCTGTAGGGTTTTAATAAATATAAAGTTATTGCTGGCAAGAATTTTCCTATTTTAAGTACCACGTTAACGGCTAGAAATTTGACATATCAGAATTTTCATACAGAAAATTACCTTTAAAAAACGATATATGGTGACAGTCTCAAAAGTATTAAAATATTGACACCGGTTTCACCTTTTCCACTACTTTCAATCCCACGGGAACTGTCGAAGTTTTTAAGAAAATAAATTCGAAAAGAATTACATTTGTTAACTTAAAAAAAGCGCTGAGTTCTGAAGGAATGAAGTAAGTAGCATAAATGTGGATTGAAACACTTACTTGAGATGAATGTTCTAAGATGAATTACTTGTCAAATTTGATGAGCCATCTACTTTTGCTCTCCCTTTTAAACACTACTCTAAAAAGAAAATTCCTTCCGAGGAAATAGTCAGACACCACGCCTCTTAAAACAGTTAAATCGAAGTTTCCTGGCCGCATGATCCATTCTTAATGATATCAGACACGTTGCGGATCATTAAAAATCTCGTCCTTCCCCAAAAGTAGGCTAAAATAGAATGTTTTTTAAACAAATTTATTCTTATTTTCGTTTTCTAAAACGATCAATGTATAAAGTTTTAGTTTAATTATAGTGAAGCTGATAATTGATGTTCCTTAAGCATTGACTTGTATTCTAGACCTATTTTGAAGTACTTTTTAAATCTTATTAATCGTCTGAGTTTGGTTAATTAAGTCTTCAAATCACTGATTGAGTATTTTGTTAATTTGACGTTACTTTTTATTCCTGAATTTCTTGTGCAAAATAGAGGAGAATAATAAATATAATTTAAATGAAATAAAAATTATGCTGACAGAAATGTTTTATAACTGAAAGCACACTTACTCACGTAACAGTGGTTGCAGCATCAGTGATTGCAAAATAAAGAGTGGTACCCAATTTACTTTAACTCTCTCCTTATGAATTTTATTAGTCATTATTGGTTTTATTTATATGAATTCATTATTTATAACATTTTAAATTTTATTAGGGTGACCCGGGGTAATTCACGATCACTCTGTTTCCGGGGTAAATAATGATCACCTAAGTTTTATTTATGAAAAAATTATTTTTTTTAAATTTGAGACATGGACAAGAATGCTTGTACACTTTTCAAAAGTATAACTACATTTACTTAATAATAGTTTTTTGTTTAATCTAACAAAATCAGTATCTTTTAAAATGCTTTCTGCATTTTCCATTTCAAAGATGGGTTTCAAAATGGGCTCATTTCTGCAAAGATCCCCTTCCTTCTCTTAATAATAAATATTTTGAGTTACTTTCTTTTTCTATGATATGAAAATAGTGTGAGCTTTTGTTTAATTGTTTCACATCTACTGTAAACATTGTTATTGATTATAGGAAACTATATCATATGTTGCCCCTACATATGGGGTAATTATTGATCACTGGGGTAGTTCCTGATCATTTTCATTTCTTCTAATAAATAGAATAAAAAATAGCTAATAAATAGTTAGTAGTCTTTTCTCTAATAACAGTTCATATTTATTAAGTGGAACAACTGTAAAATATATTTAAACTATAATCACAAAATTTGTTTTTAACTCTATATAAGACAAATGTGTTCTGATATGCACCATTTCTAGCTTGTCTTACCTTTCTTCTATCTTAATTTTATGTGTGCACATTGTTAGAATAATTTTTAAGTTGATAAATTAACCTAATATAAATATGGTGAGAAATTATAAGCTTAAAAAGGATACTAAGCTTCTAGAAAGCAAAAATAGCAAATTTCTTTTAATGATTGAAAATGAAGAAGTGTGAGAGCTGCTGCCAGAGTTGAAGTGTTAATCTTTATTCCTGCTTTTAAATAAAATGTTTTAATAGCTGCTTAAAAATATCTTTTTGGTTTATTTGTTTGATCTTAATGTCTTATTTGTTAATTACTATTGTATAATTATTTTTAAACAGCCTATTTACTATAAAAACTGGTAATCAGTAATTACCCCAGAAATGATCAGGAATTACCCCAGAAATGATCAAGACAAGGGGTAATTCCTGATCACTAAAAATTTAAAATCTTTTAAATTCTAATTAGACTTTCAAACAAAAGAAGGTAGCTTAGGACTCATCTCATATAGCCTCAAACTTCCAGTAAATATTAAATTCTATCTTTAATGGTTTTTTCACAAAATAGATGTTTGCATTTTTTGATCAGGAATTACCCCAGGTCACCCTACCTTTTTGCATTGATAATTGAAAATATCCGGTCAAAAGTAGATGCAGAAGTTCTGTAACTTTCAAATGCTCAAATGGTATATGGATAATTTCCAGTAAAGTATTAACTTTTTGCTTTTAAAGTTTAGCAACCACTATTCTTTAAACAACAAAGATTTAAAGTACATCACTTGCCTTAGACTCTACTGTCTAAAGGCGCGCTTACTAATGTACTGCCTAACTGAAAGTTTCAATCTAAATTAACTGTTCTGGAAAGGGTTAACAAACTATTAATTAAATGTCTAAATTTCTTGTAAAGCAAACAAACAGTTCAATTTTTAGCATTTACTTTATTTTAAAAATAACTCCAGTTGAAGTTTTAGAACTAAATATTATTGCTAGAAGGTTGCCACTGGTGATTAAATAATCAAAATGTGGTGATTAAGGAAATCCAAAATGTTATTAAAAAGATTAAAGTTAGCAACGTTTTATAGCCTATTTTTTTCAGTTGCAATTGAAGGTGAACACGAGGCATGTTTTTGCTTTTAATAAGATTAATTTGAAACGTAAGTCCTAGTGATAGTTACGATTAACTAATTAAAGAAATAATGAATAAAAAAATGTATTGAGTATCTACAACCTTTTACAAATATAGACGCCTGTGGCATCCTTGCTGCTTAGATTGTTAAAATGCAGCGGGAGTTAAAATATTTCGTTTCATCGAAAAACAAACAAAAAATACTCTAAGTCTCCTGCTATTATTTTATTTTTAACGCGTCACAGCAATTACTGATATAAGTCAAAATATAATTAAGAATAAGAAATAGCTATTGTAAGCGTAATATATAATTTTATACACACTTAACCCATTTGTGCAAGAACAAGTGTTTTTTTTTAATTAGTCCACTAATGTCAAGTCACTTAGTCTATTTATTAAAAACACCTACATGGAAAATGTAATAATACATTTTTTTGTGGTAATTAAACGTGGGTATTTCTTTCTGTTACTTTTGCTTCAAAAAATCACTGCTCTTCGACTTCAGATACAAATATAAATATTAGTAACTTTTTGGGGGGAAGTAAATTTTGAGTGAAAATTTTAGACAAAAAACTTATTAAAAAGTCACGAAATTCAACTAAAGAAATATGCTTGAATTCTTTGTTGTGTAAAGAATAGCGGTTGGTGAAAAACGGTGGACTTTTTGAAGCTATTAGTATTACATTTTTGGTAGTTTGCAATATTTCTGGAATAAGAGTTGCCAGACTAGATACGTTGCGCCGGAAAGGGTTAATAGGGCAACTAACTACTATACTTTTTGCGAAATATGTTATTGAGTGTTAGACAATTAAAAACTAAAGCTCACAGAATTTATGGTAATTTTGCTAACATTTTAAAAGATCCACCAGGAGAAATGGAACAAAGCTGCTTTTTATATAAGCTTTCAAATCATTTAGAAGTAGTGCTGTAAAAAATATCTTCAAATCAAATTGTAAGAGAAAGAATAATACATTAAAGCATAAATCCCAAAAAGCTTAGAAAGTAGGCAAGCCTGTGTTAATACACAAAGGGCTGCCAACTACTGAGCTTTTGGCAAAATATTTTATAAAGTGGTAGACAGTTAAAATCTACAGCTTTCACAATTTTTGGTAATTTTGCCACCATCTTAAAAATTTCACCATATGAGAGCTGGAACAAAGTGGTGTTTGAAATGAGAGCAAAGTGCACGAACCTCATCCTCATCTATGAGCAAACTGCTTCTTATTATTTCCAATTATTTTAATTTCCCCGAGCAAAGTGCTCAAATTACTTATTCAGAAACCACACGGACGGCTGACCTTACCGTGGTAAAACAAACTTTAAAACAAATTCATGGCGGATGAGATCCAGGTGCCCAATTCCAGAACACTATTATGACTATGGTAGCTGTGAAATGGGTTAATATTTCTTTTCCCAAGACAAGAGAGCTTCGTCGACCGTAGTATAGTAATAGTTTATCTGAATCAAATATATAAAATCTATCTATCTATCTATAATAATAAGAGTATAAGTAATAAGAGTAATAATAATAATATGACAAATCTATCTATAATAATAATGGAATAAAAGTTTGCCTAATTGTCTCTCTTATAACTTCAGAACCACTTATGCTAATGTCCAGAAATTTAGGTATTGGGTGCAAGGGACAATTTTAGCGCCCAACTGAAGTCATTGCAAAAAATAAAAATCATTCACGAAATCCAACTAGCTCTTTCGAGAAGGAAATGTATTATATTGAAAAATTTATTATTATAACGCATTTATTTTATTTTATAACCGTCGTTGAACAGTTTTGATAGTTAGTTCCGTTAAAAAGTCCTCCACGAAGGCAAATTCTCCCACTACGTCATCCAGGAGTTCCCTTGTCTTCTGGATTGGGTTCAAAATTACAAGGCTACGGAGTTGAACATTGGTAGTCATAAACTCAAAATTGGATTGGCTGTTATAAAGTAAAATGTAAATAGTTTTCATCTTTCTTGAATGTTTTGTATTAATAAAAATTTCGCTATAAATGGAGAGGTTAATGTCTGACAACATCTTATCTTTCCCTCTCTTATATTATTATTTTTTATTTAAATCATTCATTTTTTCATTATTTTTGACGTCAAGCACGAGCTTATAAATGAATATCGCGATAGAGTTAAATTTTTCTACTACATCGGATTTATATTTTTTATCGGATTTGAAGTGAAAGAAAATTTCGAGAAAAAAAAAAACACTTAAAATTGGAATAACATCGGTTTTGATGCGTTAATGAGAAAATGACTTGGAATCCATCCACAAATAAACTATAAAACTTCTAATTTGATACACGTGTCAGAAACTTTTCCTCTGAAACTTGTTTCTTTCAATCATTATATACCAGAACTCATAATAAAAAGGAACAATTTATTTATTTATTTTCCCTGTTGCATTTTGAACGGATCCTAGATAGTTTTGCGTCGTAGATTTCAATCTGCCATCGGATAAACAACAGTTTATATGCAATTTAATGAGGATGTTTTAATCTTTTATTTTAGTGAATACTAAGTCTCCCATCTTCTCTGCTTCATAAGACGTGGTAGGCGGTAATGCATGCTGTACTTTAAGGACGAGTTTTTTTTTTATTTTTTTATCTTAAGTATTGTTTAGGAGCAGACAAGTGTATGCATGTTTATATAAATTATACATTCAAGGCAATGAATGATTTAAACTAAAAAAAATAATAAATCTGTAGTTTTTCGAAAAAAAACTAATATCGCATTTGAGATCTTCACACTCGAACGAGGAAAGATCAA